GTGTCTCGTTTCTCACCCAAACAGGATCCCAGGCTGTGAATTGGAGCTGCTCTGACTGATTTGTTATGAGACTTTTCCCTCAGGCTGGTTTTCACATCCAGTGAAGCTCTCAGCTCCCTTTGGCTATCTTGTCCCTCCTCTCTCCACGTGTGTAAGCAATGATGCTCACTGCAGATTCATGGCCAGATGAAAGCCTGCTGACCTGGCAACTCAGATGAGCAGGTAACCAAACACTTGCCCTACTCTCATTTCAAGAGATGTAGAAATGCTGGAAACAAAATTGCTGGTTGAGATGATTTAATATTAAATCTAACTTCTCTTCCTAGTAACTTGGTCCTTTTATTTTATTATTGTTATTATTATTGCTAGATTTCTTTATGGAAAACTCTTCTGTCATGTTCAGGGGTCATATTTTACATTTTGGATGTCAGTATCTCACAGTGGTTAACACCAAAGCTTGGCAGCACTGAGGTAAGCTGGGGTCTAATACAGAAAATGTACAGTTTCAGATTAATCACAGTTTTGATTTGTGGCTCTGACAATAGACAAGAGAACATATGCTCGTATGCTTCTGTTAGCTCAGCTCTGGGGAGAAAATAGTGTAATCAAGAGACTACACTGGTGATTCACCCTTCCTCTGAGCTAATCTCCCAGTGCCTCTGTAGGCTGTGGTGGGGAACAGGGAGCTCTCGTGAGTGCCGTGTACAGCAGGAGGCTGGGCCACCACACATGCCCATCTTATGTCCCTTTACTGCAACAGATGCTTTCCACAGGATAAGGAGTGAGGATGAAAATAAAAAGATTGACTCTCTACACAGTCTATTTATCTCCTGATTCCCCACCACACCTGCTACTGGAAACAGTTGCTGTAGGCACAGCTCTCTGGGCTGAACAGAGTTTGAGCTGGCCCCTTGCTGTGACAGAGGGAGCGTCCATCTCTGGGAAGCAAATGACAGTGTTTGGGTTTTTTTTAACCTCTCCTTACAACTGTGTGACCACTTCCACCTCAGCCTATTGCCTCAGGTTTCCTTTCATGTTCTTATCAAGCATCCCTGAATTTACCTTCCTTCAGCTGTAGCTGTGAGAGGAGCCAGGAGGGTGTCTTGTCTCCTCATCACCTGCGCTGAGGCAGCGTGGGGGTTGCTGGTGGTGTGCTGGTACAGCCTGCAGCATGTAGTCACTGAGGAGCAACTAAGATCAGCCCAAGCAATCTCTGGGAACCACATCATACCAGCTGCAGCAATACAAAGTCCTACCAATTGGTTATGCAAATCCACAGATAGTATGAAGAGACCTGGTAATTTACTGCACCCTCCCAAGCATCTCATCGGGATGGCACACTGGCCCACCAGTTCCTCCATAAGGGAATTGGGAATTGTCTCTCTGTCAGCTTAAATAACTACTGCACAGAGCAAGGATTTTCACAGGAGAAACTTGGGAGGAACATCACTGTGCTTCAAGGTGTAGAAGGAATGGTGGATAAATGAGCAGAGGAGAGGGGTAGTCAGCAGGTCTGTGTGAATTTGGTTTGATTTCCCCTTTGCTCAGTGCATGCCCTCCCCCTTCCCCTCTCCTGCACCTTGGAAAAAGAAGAGAGAAAGGGTATCATCAAGGGATTGTCCATAGAGAAAACAAAGCAGAAGAAACCTCTGGAGATCTCATCTGAAGTACCATGGGAACACAGCCGCCCCTGTGCCTGCTGGGCTGTCATCTGGGGAGAACATTTACACATGTGAAACGTGCAGAGAAATTCTGTGAAAGCAAAATGGAGATGCACATCTAAGAGGGTTTCTCTGCACTAAGGATCCTCCTCTTCATCTTAGGAGCTCCTGGGTTCACTAGCAAGCAAGAATAGCCAGGCCTTTGCATTCCTGTCAGTTCTGGAAACCAGTCATACCCTCTTCTTAATTTCAACAAAGACTTCTCCTCCCTGTCCAGGCCACTTTTACCAACTGCAACGGTTAACACGTATTTGGAAAAATTCTACAGCCAGCATGTGTTTGTCCTCTCCTCACACTTCCAGAAATGATTGTGTGGGAGGAAGGAAGCCTCCCACTCTTATGCCCCCTGCAGCTGGAAAGCCACCTCTAATCTTACTGCCTTTTTTCCTGCTGTGTATCCTGCCAATTAAAACTGGGTCTTGTTATGAACTGCAAACAATGTGGTGAAGCCTTTGGTCGTTTTTTTTTCCAGTTCAATTCTCATTCTGCCCGTGAACTGAGGTTTGGCTTGTACTTTGCATCCCGTGATCAGCTTATTCCTCTCCCATGTCAGCCTCAGTTCCTGCTGGCTGTCAGCTCTCCTGCTGCTCTGCCTGGTGTCTGCCATCTTTTTCCTGCTGTTTCCACATGTGATGGGAGACTGGGCTCATCTCCCATTGCGCCGGAGACACTGGGCATGTGGAGGGGCCTGTGTTCATTCCATGTCCCATGTCTTAAGGACATAACATGTATGCCACCTGGCTAAGAGAAAGCCTTGTCTGCTCGATTTGGCTTCCAGGATGTGTATTCTCACATTGCTGTTTGACTGCTCCACAGAAAAATAACATCAGCTTGTCGTGGACATGACCACCTCCAACAGTGTCCTCTGCCTCTCCAGCTCCCTGCAGCAACAGCTGGGTAACCTGGGTGGGACTGGGTGGCCTCTGCTCACACCCCCACACCTGGCTGTTAAGGACCACTACTGGAAATGGTGTGTAACTCTCTAACTATGAACTCTGGAGAGTCTTGCTGACCTCTTTCTTGGGGGCTTGATACTAGCTTCTACCCCTTATGGCCAATCCTTATTTCACCCTTCTGTTTCCTGTCAAGGCATTTCTTGGACAAACCCACAAGTTTCTCCCTTAGATATACTTAAATTCAGCAGTGCCCAGGACATAAATTTGCCCATGGTCTTTTAGGGCCCTGCTCCTCTAGAGCTGAAGAGCCCCTTGATGTGCTGGATGTCAAATATGCCTTGTCTGTCTTTCTGCAGCAGATAAAGCCTTTTAAGAAGTTTCCACGGCTCTTCCCTACTCCCTGACAAATGCAGCAGAAGTGGTGATGTGTCAGCACATCTTTCCAATTAGACTGCAGGCTCCACTGGGATATTTGATACTGCAAGGCAGAGCTGGCTCCTGTGGGGAGAGTGCAGTCCACAGGAGCTCTGTCTGCTCCGGTAGCATTGCTGCTGTCTTTCTCCTTGACACAGAGTTTTATCCATGTTTTCCTCAAGCTCTGTGTCACTGTGGAAACACACAGGTAATACATAGCTGGCAAAACAGCCCCTGATTCTGTTTTCTCTTTGGTGACTTCCTTCTTCCAGCTCCTGGTGTGTGTGAACTACTTGCAAGTACTCTGAGTGTCAAGGTACACAACGAGAACCATTTTCTGCAGAAAGCAGGTTGTTTTGTAGCAGCTGGAGGTTCACTCAGAACTTTTTCATAGGCACATTCACAACCTTCCCTCTTTCCCCTACACTTTGCAGTGCTCCTGGAGGAAAAGGGGCTGAGAACTGAAGAGACTCAGCTGGAGTCTGTTGTGCCCATCTTATACTGATGGATATGTGGGACTGATGCAGTGCCTGATGTCAGCGAATCCATTGTGAGAGCTAAACTGGTTTCCAAAGTGACAGTCCATGGACCTACGTCTCCAGTGACTGGAAAATGCCCTTTCTCTCACATTAAGGTCATGAGCAAGAAGCCTGCCTCTGCTCTCCTGAGCTTTCCTGGGGCAGAGCCTGTGTGTGTAGGTGGTGTCCTCTCCTCCTGCATGGCCCGCAGGATGAATCCTCATTTCACTCCTAGTTAAGAGACACACACATGAGTAGGATGAACTGTCATGAGCAATATGAGGAAGGAAGGAGTCACCTCTATTTGAACTTGTTGTATGCTGTGATATATTTAGGATATGGAGGACTACATGTGCCTGAGAACTGGAATTTTGTGAGCTCTGTGTTTTACACAGTACAAGGTATGCCTCACTCGTACCCAAGCACACCTCTACCTAAACTTTTTCTGGTCTAGTTAATACTTACCTACAGGATTTTGCTTATTTGTCCTCTTTAACTCAATTGTTGTCCTAGCAGCAGCTGTAGCCTCATTTATTGCTTAGACATGTGCAGTGCTGGGCAGAGGTTTCTTGCTGTTTCTGGCAGAGATGTATGAACCATGGGCCCTCTGAAGAAGCAACTGTGCTGCTTCCAGAACACAGCCCTTTCCTTCACAGTAGATGCACACAGCATTCCTAATTTTGGGAAGCAGGTGCTTTCCACCACTCACCTGAGGAATGTGAACTTCTGGTGCCATCCCAGGTAGTATAAGTTCCACATGGCTGATGTAGATTCACCTTATCTCGGAGACATATTTTAATAATGGTCTCTTCCACTTTAAATGGTCTCTTCCCTACCCCAGTGTGGGCTGGACGTGTCCCTGAACTAAAGAATACAACTTCATTTTTTTTCAGGGACAATGATAGGGATTTGGTTTTTCTCTTGATGCTTCTCTATCAACACTCCCAAATCTTGGCTAGAGAAGAACGTGGAGAGACACCACAGCTGGAATGTGGGATGCCACAGCCAACAGTCTGCAGACACCACGTCCGCTGTGGCCAAAACATGCAGCACTTGGCTGAACTTTGTCCAGCTCTTTGTATTTCAATTTCCATGTTTCAGCTGAGGGCCGAGTGAAGTGTCTCTGCATACATTCCCTTTACACCGACCACTGTGGGGTGAGGCCACTCATGTGCATCCTACAACTAGGAGCAGGTCCCTGTGGGCTACTGATGGGGCAGTCACCCTGGAAATGTGTTTGTGGCACTTACTGATCCCATTACTGGCTGTTTCTGGAAAGGACCCTCGAGCCAAGGAGCTGAGCTCTTAGAAGTGACCAGGCTGCTGGAGGAAGTTTAAACAAGCCCTATGGGCTGCTGAAATAGGCTCCAAAGCTGTTGGTCCTGCCCTGTTTGTCAGCACCGTGTTCTCCTACAAAAGAAAAAACAGGACACAGGAAGCACCAACACAAGGTGGGAGAATCAAGACCTCAATCCAATGTACTAATAATACTTAGCACTGTACATCACTGTTGCTTACAAACATGAACTAACACATCCTCACAACACCCCTGCGAGGTAGGGAAGTAGTATTGTCCCCAGTGTACAGATGGGGAAACCGAGGCACAGCGAGGCTCAGGGACTTGCCCAAGATCACACAGCAAGGTGTTGGCAGAGCCAAGGTCAGAATGGAGATGGCCCTTGTTCCCCACCCCATGCTGCCCTCCACTAGACTGTATTGTCTGTCTGCACACGGGGAACCCAAGAGGTCCCTTTGAAAAGCAATGCCTGGACGTGTTGCCTATTAATAATTTTTATTTGCCTTTAATGAATTATTTCACAGTTTTTCCCTCACACTGTACACCACACTTCCACAGTCCCTCCAGCCTTCTGTGGCAGCCCACAGCCTTCTCCTGCGGCGCCGGGACAGCTCTGCGGGGGGTCGTAGGGTGCTCTGTGCTTTCCTTAAGAGGATGTTCAGAACAGTCATCACTGGCGTTACACTGGGAGCATGTCAGCTCTCACTGGAGACTGGGAGCACACACTGGGGAAGCAGGCAGGGGAACTGATGGTAAAAAGGCATTTGCTATCCCCTGTGGAATGACCAGTGGCTCTCTGGGTCTCTTAGCTCTTCCAAGCTCCAGGGATCACTCACAGCAGAAACTGTTTGTCTTCATCTCGCCTGGTCAGGAATTTGTTGTTCTGGGGGTTGCTTCCCTAATAGGTCATAGGCAGTCCTCTCGGGACCAGAAAGGCCCCCTGGCATTGCCTACTCCAGGTGTGACACTGTCTTGGAACAAGGCTGGCTGTAGCCATTGTGCTCTCCTGCCATGGGGAAGGGGTTTTTACCATGGTTGGCAAGCAGCCATATCCAGCTTCTCAGTCTCTTTTTTCTTCAAGACTGGGATTCAATGAAGAGCAAGGGAGAGTGGATGGATGAGGAGATGAGGATGAGGCAGAGCAAACGGGAAAATCCACCAAATGAGCTTCTAGGAAGGAAATGTTCCCCCTTGGGCACTTCAGCTGAAGCGGCTTCATTTTCACAAGGCTTCTTTCTCTCTCTGGGAACATCTGCTGAGCTTCATCTCTGTCAGCTGGATATATCGTATGACATTGGTATCTGCAGGGGAAGAGCACACACATACACGTGTGGTGGTTACAACTGCCTGCTGAAGACAGACACACTGCACCTTCCTCCTCGGTGCATCCCCTGGGGAGCAACGTGGCCCCAGCGCTGCCCGCAGGGGTGCCGCAGTCTGAGGGGACTCTGAACCAAACCCTGCAGCTCTGCTTTTGGAGAACCTGCTCTGTTTTGTGCCTGCCGTCCCTGCTGCTCACAGTCTCGCCTCAGCTAGTTTTTACCTTCTCTCTGATTACTGTTGGTCAGCACAGTTGAATTCACTCAGCTGAAACTGTCCAGGTCACCCTTGCCTGTTCCTGTGGAGCAGAACCTCTGTTGGCTTCCCTTCCTTCAGCGCCTGCACACAAGCCCCTAAAGACATTTTGTGTACAGTGAAAAGTGCTCTGCCTTCTCACCCTCCTGCTCCTTTTGCAGCCTATTTCACTCTTCTCACCTTTTCCCATGACGAGCTGAATTGGGAAGAGCATCCTTCACATTCTCTTTGTACCCTTGCTTTCCTTAAATGTCATGTTTGGAAGTCCTAACCCCATGACACCCTATCTGCATTTTTGTCCCATGCTGCATACTGCCTTGTCTGTCCTGTCGAGGTTCTAGGGGCAGAGAAGCACTGATTCACCCCTGTGGAGAGCTGTGAGATCCCAGCACTGTGCAGGTGGTTAAGCTGAGCCCTCTTTTTCCTTCCAGTCTTTCAGCACATCAGCACAGCACACAGAACATGTGAGTTTTGTTTGACCTCAGCAAGGAGGAAAAGCTGTTTACTTTGAGCATCTGCTGGATGTGGATAACCACATAGGTGTGTTAAGAAATCACTCCTGCCTGGGCATGCAGGGACCTGTCACCCAGCTGAGGGGATGGAGGTGGCTTCAGGGCATCATTGGGCAATGGAAGGTTGGTTGCCAGCTCCTTTTGGCTGGTGGGTGAGGTAGCTAGCTGTTGATGGCAGAGCTTCACTCACCTGGGAGGCTACCACACGCCTGGGAAGCTGGGAGCAAAAGAAGGTGTAGCCTGTTAGAGGGTGGGAGATGTTCCCACTGCAAGTGAGTTATAAATCTCCTGGGGAGGTTTTGGAGTGGTTTGTTTCCTTTCTGAGGGCCATGGTTTTACTAAAAAGAAATCATGAGAGCAGCACTCTGATTACAGAAGTGGAACTCTGTCGAGCCTTCTCCATCTAATAGGATTGCACCATACTAGCTCTACCTGCAGAAGTTTTTTAAAGCTAACTGGAAAGGTTAATGAAGAGAAGACTCATCTCTCAGTGAGGAAGAAGTGATCCCCTTCTGCCGAGGTGGAAATTGCAGGTAAGGACAACTCAGAGAAGGGGTCAGATCAACAGTCAACAGCGGCTCCCCTCTCCCTTAGGAAGGAGGGTTGTACAATTAACTTGTGTTATTTCCATCTTCTTTTGTGATTTTTAAAATTTTTTTGGAGGTATCATAAGAAATCAGGCCAAACCCAACCCAACCTTCACCCTTGACAGACAGTAAATAGCTGTAAGGGATTTGCTGTGCTGACAGCCCTTTTGAGCAGTAAACCCCTTTGCTGGCTAATTCCTCTTTACCATCTAAAATCTCCCCCACTAAAGAGAATAACTGCCAGTGATTTGTGCCAAAACTATTCGAACATGGCTGTAATAATAACTGAGTGCTTTTACCAGTGAGCCTAGAAAACCCTCTGGTAAAGGAAAACAATCACATTTTGCAGATGGAGATACTGAAAGTGGAGGCACCGATTTATTGCAGGTCACATAATAATTCTTGATAGTGCTACCTGATTCCTACTGTGGAGTTTTAAACAACCACATCCTTCCTTATTTTATATATTCACCTCTTTTCCCCTGAACAGTCTTCACATTTTCCATAATCATAAATAAAACAGTAGAATGGTGGCCTTGGATGGTCTAACAATAACAGGGCAGAGTCTCTGATGCAGAGCTGAAAGACAGAGCTGTTTTTTGTATACATTGAGGGCCTTTGGGGACACTTTCTGGTATGTTTTTGCAGCAAGCTGTGGTATTTGAAGTGGTTGCTGTTGAATAAATTAGTCTTTATTTCAAGAAGCAATGAGGGATACTAAATAAATGGTATCACCCCAGTGGGGGAGGGGGAGCACAGAAATATTTTTTTTTAAAAAATGGAAGCAAAGTGATTCAGAACTTTTTCACACCTAAAAGGACTTTTTCACACCTGAGCCTAGTCAGAACCTTAGGGTTAGGATAACTTCTTATTTTCCACCAACTATTTTTCTCTTACGTAGGCTTCTCCATTTCCTGGTTCTGGCAGGGGCTGAAAGCAGGAGGACACACTGCAAACTAAAATAGGCTGAACTGAGCTTTTAAGCACATTTGCTCAGGGAGTGGGGGGTGCACAGCTGTGCTGTCGGGCTGCCCGGAGCCCATGGCCAAGCAGGGCAGATGGGACCAGGCACCCCTATGGGAGGTGGAAGAGGAAGGAGGTCCCAGCATGCCCCTAAACACACCCACCATGGTGCTCCCCAGGGCACTGCCACCACGGGAGCCATGCAGGGCCAGTGCCTGTAAAACATCAAGCACAGCCAGCTCAGACAGCCTCCCTCACCTCCTTTACTTCAATGAACATCAGCTCCACCGTGCTCTGCCAAGCCCCAGCCTCACTCCTGTCTCATGCTCTTCTCGCTCTTCCACCTTAGGTTGGGGTGGAAGAGTTGCTCTGTGGGGTTTTCTTTGCACATGGCTTCCTTTTGGCTTTCTTGTGACACTTCAGTTTTTCTTTGACTATTACAGAATTCCTTTCTTTTAACAGAAACGGTTTAATCTCCCAATTACAATTTGAAAAATAAAAGCACTATCTCTGCATCGTAGCCTTCTGAGCTTGGCTAGGTTAGCAATAAAGATGGTCGCTCTGAAAAGGCTAAATTGTTCAAATACATAATTTCTTTGCTGTCCAAAAATTAATTGTTGGGCTTTGACGCATGGACAACAGGTACTTGAACAGGCAAGTGGCCAATTTCATGGCAAAAGTTGAAACACTCTGATGAATGCTTTGTAAGGAAATGTCTATGCCTGATCAAAGTAGAATCCTATCCCTTCACTGAGATGGTGGAAGGCACGGCTGTTGAGGTTTGTAAATAATCTCCTGGTTTTGTTAAGAGGGGAAAAAGCTTTTTCTCATGGTGTCAGAAAATGTAATGTCCAGGATACACTCTTCCCCATCCCCCCTTCTCCAAAAAGAAACCAGGGAGGGGAGGAGAGGCAGGATCTGTCACCTTGTGCCGCAGCCTCGGC